TTCAGCAGACGCTCAAGTCTATGTTTCAACTCACGCTGTTGAGGTATGTTCAAAGCCTGTTGTCGTCGGATGGACTACTTCTTCTTCATGAGGAGCGGAAAAATACAAACTGATGCTGTACCCCTGAACTTGGAGTATTATATAACCCCCCCCCCTTCCCACATTCCTTCACAGTTTTTTTCCCATAAAATAAGGGTGTGGGGGATCCTTTAAAAAAGTGAAAGCTTCCCACAACCCTGCATAAAATGTTTCCTCAACATTTCCTGGAATTGCTCTTAATCCCTGCTGTGACGACGCATTCTTCTTATCTGAGGAATGTCATACTTTCTCCTTTCCAGGAATTGTACAAAAAATGATTTATGACCTTTTGCACTTAACCCTTGCTGTGATGACTCATTCTCCTTATCTCAGGAATGTGACACTTTCTCTTTTCCATGAATTGTACAAAAAAATGATTTATGACCTTTTGCACTTAACCCTTCTTATCTCTGATACAATCTCAAGAATGTTGAAAGCCATGACCCCCCCCCCCACGCGAATCAAAACCGTGAATTAAAACGCGAATTAATTAATCCCACTCTCGCAGGGTACCCTTCCCACAGCGTTGCACTAAAAAAGCCGCGAACTAAAATCACNGAAACGCGAATCGAAACCGTGAATTAAAACGCGAATTAATTAATCCCACCCTCGCAGGGTACCCTTTCCACAGCGTTGGACTAAAAAATCCGCGAACTAAAATCGCGAATTAAAACCGCGAATTAAATTGAAACTGCGAATTAAAACCTCCAATTAATCGGCCACCTACTATCCACTGGCGGGGCACCCTCAGACAGACCCTTCAGACTCGTCAACAGACCCTTCTCACAACATTGGACTCAAAAACCCGCGAATTAAACCGCGAATTGACGGCGAATCAAGCCGCGAATTAAATCCGCGAATAAAACCACGAATTAATCGGCCACCTACCACCCACTCGCGTGACACCCGTCTGACCCTTCGCAAAACGGTTGAGCCAGACACGGCCTCATACATCTGCTACAGTGATGTGCCAATCTTTCATGTGGACAACTGGAGGTGGACAAAATTGCCGCGCACGTTGCTGCGCGCGGACTTTAAAGCGGTGCTCTGCCTTCTTGTGGAGAAAATGCGTGTGCTCACGTGGATGTGGACATTTAGGCTCCGACCCAACTTTTTTCTGGCCATGGTCAATACTGCCCAGAAAGTGCATGGGCGTGTAAGGACTATCATCCGTCACACGGTTAGCGCAGCACCGCTGGGTCAAACCGAACGCGCTGTTGTCACGTTGGTCCTTACCGCTACGCACACATTTCAAGTGTAGCGGCGAATGTAGCAACACTTTCATTCGAGCGGTCAACAAGGACTCACACCGGGCGGCGCGGCGCTGCTTTTCTGTCCGTTCGACATTTCTTTTTTTATTTTTTAGGTAAACAAGTAGTAAAAGAATTGAGCTAGAAACTCTAATTTTTTCAGAACTTTTAAGCTTCGAGAACCACGCAAAAATATTTAAAAAGGAAAATAGACGGCGCCGCACTCATTAAGCAAGTGATCGAGAATTAATTTAAAGAATGTGATGAGACTTACCGATTAAACCACCAGGGACAGCGAACTGCAGTTCATTTTGCTCAGCGCAGAGAGAAACGACACGAGAGTAAATTGGACGACAAGTCAACTTTCCTTCACCATCCTTCGAGACAAGACCTGGTCGTACTTCTATTTCCATACCGACCTGAACAATTAATCAACATTGAATCAGTTAATTATTTTGTATTTATCCGAATTATATTTTATAACATGCCCCTTCATTCAATTGGAGGGGTCTACCGAAATAATTTATTGAACGGTAATTGAATCGATTTCAACCATTTTCGTTGGAGTAATCAGTAAAAAGTTTTTTCAAAAATTTCGAATATTCTCAATAATTCTTCAAAAAATGATGTTAGATGGACCTTTAGGAATTTTACAGAAATTTCTGGATTTTTTCCGTATAAATCGAACAAAGGAATGATATTATCTATGTCATCTTTGAACTCCACATTTGTGGCATTATGATGTCCAAAATTAAATTTTCTTGATTTTGGTACCCAAAAATATTTCAAACTGTTACATTAAATAATTTCAATCGGAATTTTGACACCGATTGAAAGAACTCAATGAAGAAACGCCAGATCAGCGAAACTCAAAGCCCAATCGACTTTCTTTAGAAGACGATGATCTGTCAAGTTGAGGGCAAAACAATTCCCAAAAACCCACATTATGCAACTAATTGCATCCCAACATTACTACAAAATGGCTACATCGAGGTCTTCCAATAATCAATCAAAATTAAACATCTTAAAAGTTTCACACATCATCTGTGTGCCGAGTTTTGATCGAAGCCTTCCACAATCCTTAGCCAACGTTTGCCAAATTTGGAGTGTTTATCTCGTAAAGTAAACCAATGCATTGATCTTTCCGGCAATTCTCAGAGCTTCAACCGCGTACACGGAGAAAAAAATACATCGTAATTTTGTGAGAATCCTTCCAAAAATTAGTGTGCTGTTCACCAACGCTGGGACATAACAGGGAGTCATCGGAGAATTCGCATGTGGCACACTAAATTTTACGGGAATCCCCCGAAAAATTAGGGTGCCACTTATGAATTTTTCGACGACCCCATGTTATGTCCCGGCGTTGGGGGACAGCACACTAATTTTTGGGAGATTTTTTTCTCAGTGTATAGTCGCTGCCAGGAAAGAAGGAACTTGGATCTGAGTGGTGGGGCACATCGAGTCATAGCTAAATTCGAGAGAGTGGGGGTACCCAGCCACGATCCTTTTTTTGTGGCGACGACTATACCGGACATACCGGTATGTAAATCAAGAGTAGAATGAACTGCGATTGGACATTTGTCTTTATTCAAAATCGAAGTTTATCAGAAACGATAAAAAGGAAGTTTCTATTCAAATGTTGGTGCAGTTTCCTTGTGTATTGCGTAAACAAAAACTAGTAAATCTTCGTACTGGTGTGAAGCTCGAGGAAGAATGGAGTTAAGGTTCCCCACAATTAAATCTAAAGTCAAGTAGAAGATAGACATTGATAAAAATCATGTATTAATAGTGTAAAAGCTCTGTAGGAAGTATTGAAAGTATAACACAATTTCAGTGTAAGAACCTATCCAGAGGCAAAATAAAATTACCGTTTATTCCAAATTGAAGCCAAAGTATCATTTTTTACTCCTCCATTTTTCTAAAACTATTTTGTTTAATGTGTCTTGTAGAATTCAAACAATTTATACGAATTGATAAATATTTATAAATTTTATCTAAATCCTTTTTAACAGCGAAAATTCTCAGGAAAGAGCTTTGATGAGTGTATCGAAATGAGCCTAATATCCTAAACGTCCTAACATTAAAAATAAAAAAGTTGAAAGATTGAATAGTAAATCTTCTATTGATAATCCAGCATTTGTCGTGGAGATAATTTAAATGCATCTTTAAACTTATTCTCCGATGCTGGATAACGTCTCCGGACATGCCACAATTGAAAAGATTTTTTTCCGCCGCGATAAATTAAGGGGGTCTGCGCTTTTCCGGGCGGCGAAAATGGCAACTTTTCCACAATTTTTATTTCATATGAAAAAAAAAGTTACAAATTTGATTTTTTTTAGGTAATTTTTATTATCTTTCTACTAGTGAAATAACAAAACTTTTCATCCTCCCGGACAATCTGCAATTAATTATTTGATGATGAAGTAGACGGGCCCCAATACTGATTGAATGATTGAAAATTAAGTTTCGAGGTTCCAACACATCTGAAATAAGAAAATTGCATGTTTTAGTAATCAGCAAACATCTGGCTTCGTCCCCTAGTAGAATAAATGAAATAAATTGAAAAAAAAAATTCTGCTTTTCCGAATAAGGCCCAATTTTCCCGGGAAAATTAGAGCCTACAATTTGTAATAAAAATTGAAATTATTGAAGCTATTATTCTGAGCGTGGTAGGCGAGAAAGTTTTGTAGATGTCAAATAAGTGGTAAAAATTTCAAATCGATTGGTGATTAACTTTCTGAAATATTCTGTNATCAGCAAACATCTGGCTTCGTCCCCTAGTAGAATAAATGAAATAAATTGAAAAAAAAAATTCTGCTTTTCCGAATAAGGCCCAATTTTCCCGGGAAAATTAGAGCCTACAATTTGTAATAAAAATTGAAATTATTGAAGCTATTATTCTGAGCGTGGTAGGCGAGAAAGTTTTGTAGATGTCAAATAAGTGGTAAAAATTTCAAATCGATTGGTGATTAACTTTCTGAAATATTCTGTAAAAAGTCATGGGAAATTCCCGGAATTTTAGTTCCGAGAAAATCTTCCGGATAAGGTGCGCCAGGCACTCTCGTGGGGGAGGAAAAAATGGTGAGCGTTTGGTACTCCATTCACTGAGATATTATTGAACAAAAGAAAAATTAACACTTACACTCAATCAGCAACATTTACACTTACATTATACTTTTACACTTACAACACTTACACTTCTGCGCCATACAATGCCCCTTCTTCTTTTTCGAAGAAATCCTGTTCTGCACATTTTTCTGAATTTTTGGCAATTCGTGCAATTCTCGCTGCGTCAGAGACACGCCTCTCCGAACGATCGACTCTCTGTTGATCCCTTCGAACAACGTATCCCCATCACAACGGGGACCCATTTGAATACCCATTTGCTCCATCATTCTTTGGATTGACCGAAATCCGTCATTGAATATACAAACAGCCAGGTATGTTGCTATTTCCACAATTTTCGTCCCTGAATGCAGGTGCTTAGGAGTGAAGGACCAAATCAAAGAATTCAAACTCTCATTACTATTCTGTTTGCCATAAGGCTTCGCATTTTGAATAGCAGGAAATGTTTTGCAGTGACCATCACCAACGTATGTACCATATTGAACTCCATATTTTTCTTCAGATCTTTTGAACATATCAGTGATAGCGTCAACTTCCATTTTTCCAGAACTTCCATTATGATTGTGTGCAAACTTCTTCATGTTCCTCCATTCAATCATCGAATTCTCTTTGAGTTATTTTCCTTTCCTCCAGTTTTTTCAACTTCATTTTGCATCCTTGACAGAAACTCGACTTTATTTCGACATCTACGACTTTTCCTGTCAATTCGCCAATCAGACATGAAACACCAAATAATGATTGGCAGCCTCTTTTTTTCCACGTCCCATCGCCTGATACCGTCAAATGATTATCTCCGCTATTCAATTCTTGTTCTTCTTCAACCGCTGCACGTGTGACATATTTGTGTATCTCCTCCGATGCTTCATGAATAATTTTCAAACGCGAGTAATATAAAGTATTACTAACACTCACTCCTAAGTCCATAAGTCCAACAAAAAGATTGAGACCTTCCAAACCCACACCAAGAAGTCGAAACACAAAAACTATGCGACGATTTATTTCATATTTTCTGTCTATCATTGGGCTAGAAGGTACGTCTTTTTTGCCACATTTACATTGCAGAACAATACGAAATCCCAAACCACGAATTGAACCTTTCGAAAAGTTTGTCACCCTCACAATTTTTGCAAATCACTGCACTACTAATAGCGGAAAAAACTGTCATAAAGTTAATCAGACAATAATGACTATTGTCGGTGATATCAAATTTTTCAGCGGCTCTCCTCCTTAGTTTAGCTACTGATGCACTTACGAATGATGTATTACCTACTTTAGTATACTGATTGCCACGGAATTTACGTTTTTTCGCATGCGAAGGATTATTCGGATTTGCCCGGGATCCTTTGCTGTCCATTTCTATTTCGAGAGTCGTGCTACAAAAATCAACTACCCCGTTCGAGGGTGCGCAATGGGCTGAAGTCTATTAGGAAAACTCAGTGCAAACTAATTTTAAAGACACAGGTATGAACACTATCGAATGTCAACAGTTTTCCAAAGGAGCACCTCCCGCCTATAATCCAATCTCGCACGTCTCTAACAGCGCTGAAAGACTCTATTGTTGCGCTGCAACCATAGGGCACCTGCCTCCCTGCACGCGCTCGGCGTTGGGGCCCTGTAGTTACGTCAATATTTGGGATTTCTGGAAAATGCTTTCTCTACAATATTTTGAAATAGTGGTAGAATAATAAAATGTAAAAAAAAATCGATTTTTTGACCCCGGAAAAAGCGAAGACCTCCTTAACTTGAACCAACATATTTGAAAATGTCGTTGGAAAGCCGATTTTAGAAAACCACTCCAATCTACCCGCAATGGGAGCGAGCGATGAACAACCCAGTCAAACTTTTTGGTATTGATCAGATTTCTCGATTATTTCAACTGCGTTATTATTGAATATGTAGACAATATTCTCCATTGTGAGTATGACACTTGCCAACATAACTGGATTATGCCCAAATCAAGTGGCGAAACATCAGTAATTAATGTAGCTATTGATGATTTTCCTGCCGACTGTCCTTTCCACTGTTCATGATTCATACAGTACCTTCTTACGTGAATTTTGTAGACATGTGTATTCAATTGTGTAGCAATTTTCGAAATTCCTTATACTACATTCCGAGCTCATACGCAAGTCACATTTCGATATCCATAAATTACTCTCTTTCTATGTCCATACCATTTTTTTTTAACAGAAAATGCATTTCGATACAACACACGTTCTCAGTTGTTCATTTATTTGGATATAATTTTCAGAATTTGTTTTTTTTTTTCTAATGAATGAAGGAAAGGGAATTG